TGTTTATATCCACAGACTAATGCAGTTCTCAGCGTTGGCTAGATAAGCCTCCTCTGGAAGCCGGCAACAGTTGGGGCAGAGAAGTTTACATGGCCAAGTCTCTGAGGATGAGTGACTGGATGGTGCCCAACACTAAACGAGACGTCTCCATCACCTCTCTCCAAGACCAAGGAAGCATCCAAGAAAAGGGGGTGATGGAAAGCTGTAAGGACCAGAAGGTAGGGAAGAGCCCCAAATCCTGTCTTCTGGATATGACGTGGCCATTACAATCATGAATACAGAGCCGCCATGACTACCTGCACAGGACCTGCCCCCCACTCCCCCTTGAAAGAAGACGTGAAAGTAGCAAGGGGTAGGAAGGGGAAAGGGATAGGAGTTAGCAATAGCAAGAAGAGATAAGAAGAGTTAAAAGTGAGCTGGGCGGTGGTGGCACACACCTTTAATCCCAGCACTTGGGAGGAAGAGGCAAGAGGATCTCTGTGAGTTCCAGTACAGCCTGAGCTAGACAAGGAGACTGTCTCAAAAAAAAATAATTGAAAGAAAATATTCAGAATCAAGATAGTGCAGTGTTGTGGCACTGTTTATTCTCAGAGGATTCACAAAGCAGGAGGACTGCCATAGCTCCCTCAGAGAGAGACGTGAGATTCAATCACAGGACAGGAAAGCCTTAAGCTAGTTCTCATCACATGACATTGTGGTGAATTCACTAAAATGTAATGTGAACCTAGGTGTGATGGTGCATGACCATGGTTCCAGCACTCAGAGGAGGGGCAGGATGATGGAGAGTTACAGGCCAGCCTGGGATACACAGTGAGTCAGTCTCTCTCTGCCTCTGTCTCTGTCTCTCTCTGTCTCTTACAGAGAGAGAAAGAGAGAGAGAGAGAGAGAGAGAGAGAGAGAGAGAGAGAGAGAGAGAGAGAGAGAGAGAGGCTGGAAAGATACCAATCAAGAACACTGGCTGCTCTTGCTAAGGACCCAGGTTCACTTCTCAGCACTCACAATCTTTTATAACTCCAGTTTCAGGGGACCTGATTCCCTCTCCTGACTTCAACAGATGATGTATGAATGTAGTGCACAGATATCCATGCAGGCTCAACATCCATACACGCAAGCGCGAGCACACACGTGTGCGCGCATACACATTCTCTCTCTCTCTCTCTCTCTCTCTCTCTCTCTCTCTCTCTCTCTCTCTGTCTCTCACACACACACACACACACACACACACACACACACAATACTAGCTTTAAAAAACTGAAAATTTTTAGTTACATTTACTTATGTATGGGTATGAGAAAGAGAAGGAGACAGAGTCAGACAGACAGACAGTCAAGAGACTAACAGAGATCATATGTAGAGGTCAGAAGATGAATTGCAGGACTCCATTCTCTCTCAACCTGTGGGTCCCAAGCATAAAACTCAGGTAGGCATGCTTAGTGTCAAGTACCTTTATCACCTGAGACATTGCTCCAGTATCCCCCCAAAAAAATACTTTTAATAATTTTTTTCATTTTATGTACATTGGTGATTTGCCTGTATATATCTGTGTGAGGGCATCAGATCCCCTAGTAGAACTGGAGTTACAGACAGTTGTGAGCTGCTATGTGGGTGCTGGGAATTGAACCCATGCCCTCTGGAAGGGCAACCAGTGCTCTTAACCGCTGAGCCATCTCTCCCACCGACAAAAAAAAAAAAAAATCTTAAAATAAGGGGTTGGGGATTTAGCTCAGTGGTAGAGTGCTTGCCTAGCATGCTCAAGCTCCTGGGTTGAGTCCTCAGCTCTGGAAAAAAATTCTTAAAATGTAAAATCAATCCACTAAAAATATGTGAAGTATGTATACAAATATTTCACTACCAGACAGGACACAGGCATCTGCAGAGTCATCCCAGCTCTCACCACCAGAGGGCGGACCAGGCTTAGTTAGGGCTCCACTGCTTCTAAGATTGGCTCCACCAAACTCCCTGACATCCTTTCCAAGTGTGAGGACTTCTAAAGTGGGCCATGGGGAATAGAGAAGTCGGGCTTGGTGGCCCACTCCAGCCCTTGAGGGCCAAAGGCAGAAAGATCAGGAGTTCAAAGTCATCCTCTACAACTTCAGTTCTCAATCTGTGGGGTCACGACCCATTTGTGTGTCGAATGACCCTTTCCCAGAAATCACAACAGTGGCAAAATCACAGTTACGGAGTAGCAACTAAAATAATGTTATGGTTGGGAGTCACCACAACATGAGGAACTGTATTAAAGGGTCCCATTAGGAAGGTGGAGAACCACTGCTCTACAACTTGAGTTCAAGACCAGCCTAAGCAAAAATGGCACACACACCCTTACCCCCAAAAAGAAGTTGGCCAGATGCCCTGCATGGTGGACCATGCTGCTCCCAGAAGTCATGGGGTTTTTCATGAAAATCCCAATGCTAGGTACAGGATACCTCCCGAGGTGTCCTGGAGGTTGGTCTTGGAGCCTCTAAAAGCTCCCAAAGTGATACAGACTTGTCATTGCTCTTCGCCAGTCAGACCCTGCTGTAGAAGACACAGAGAAATCAAGCTGGAAGCGATCTGGCAGTTTGCTTCCCCCTGGCTAGGGTTCACAGTTCTGGAAGGTGCAGCAGAGGCCGCTGAGGGGGAACAGTCATCAATGACCTCACCCAGCTGTGGGCCCTGCATGCTGCAATGCTGGCCCGCAAGGCAAGGAATGCGCCCTGGTGTAGTAGTTAGTGCCACAAAATGTTCAAGTGTAACCAACTGCTTTCTGATTGGATCTGTGGCCTGAGCCACACAAAGGAGTTTCATCTGGTACTGTAAACCTGGCCAACAGTCTATAGCTAAGGGAGTCATGGGCTCTATGGGGTCATTACTTAACTGATGGTTTCCTAGACAAACATGGGGTCAAACTGCCTTCTAAACATCTCTGTATATCCACAGACTAATGCAGCTCTCAGCCTTGGCCAGACAAGCCTCCTCTGGAAACCGGCAACAGTTGGGGCAGAGACGTTTACATGGCCAAGTCTCTGAGGATGAGTGACTGGATGGTGCTCAACACTAAATGAGACGTCTCCATCACCACTCTCCAAGACCAAGGAAGCATCCAAGAAAAGGGGGTGATGGGAAGCTGTAAGGACCAGAAGGTAGGGAAGAGAGCCCCAAATCCTGTCTTCTGGATATGACGTGGCCATTACAATCATGAATACAGAGCCGCCATGACTACCTGCACAGGACCTGCCCCCCACTC